CTTTCCCTGCTTCCCTGAGGTCAGGTACAACATGAGACTCTGAGATGAGATTGAAGAACAGGAAGTACACACTGCCCTCTGTGCCCTTGTCATGGAGCATGAGGAAGGGCAGGGCTATGGTACACCGTATAGATACTCCTCAGGCAAAATCTCTGAGCCCAAGTGCTTCTGGCTTATGCACACTCATAGTGAGGGTTTGCATATGGACAGCACATCTTGACAAGATCCAGCTTCTCTTTATGACTATTTACATTTGTCTTGCCTGGTAGAGATAGGGCCAAATCCTGTTTCTCTTTATGCATTGAAATGGCACATACATAGCTGCATAGCAGCAGTTTCAGATACTTATGCACTATTTGTTATTCAGCTTTGCACATGCAAGACTACATGTACCCACTGAGGCCAGAGACCCAGAATTGCTCTTTGCATGTTTTCTAAACATCAGCAGCTGGGGCCAGGTTCCTCCACAATCAACCAGACTATTTTCCAGGAGAAGGATGATGGGCAAGAAAAGATTGTGACCTTGTCTGTTCATAAGAAATTAGTTAATTTCAGCTTAAAGTTTACCCCTGAAAATCATTTCACTAAGGGTTTTGTCACATAGGACACTTAGTATGTGTTAAATCTGTGGGTAGTAATATTAGGATGTGTTTTGACTAGTCACACAATAATGTAACTATGATTTCTAATGTGCAGTTTGCCAACTGTCAGTCCCAGCCCTGACACCTAACTGTACTCTTGATCCAACTCCAATGCAGTGCCAGGACTGGAATCTACAATCAGATGATTGTTGGTCCCAGCCCTAGGACCCTCTGGGATCACAGGCACCCAGCTTTCAGTTTGATCCTGGAGGACCCTGACAAATGAAAGATGTAGGATCCTTCATCCTGACATGTATGGCTTTCCTCATACTATCTGTAGGCTTGATATGGCAGAAGAGACCCTGGCTGATGTCATGGTTCGGTGGGGGGCTGCAGTCTCCATGGAGCAGTCTGGTGGTATAGCTGAATACATGTTACTGGAGATACCCCTCACCCAAAAAAGTCATAACTTTTCTACAGAGTGGGTGCATCTACACATGCAATTAATGTGAAGCAATAAACTCCAGAGCAATTTGAACCAGAGGAAACTGCTCTCAGGCACAGCATCTACACATGTGCCCAGGACAGCTGCAATTTGAGCTGAGGTAGAGCAGACCCTCAGCTGGCTGGGTTAAGTGGGCACAATTTATGTCCCCGGTCAGCGTCTACACATGCATTTCAGTGTAGTTGTCTGGACAGTACTATCTTATGGCGGACTTAATTAATTTACTGCACCCTGATATTGGCACGTGTGTAGATGGTGAGACTTTACTGTGAAGCTAATTAATCAACTCTACAGTAAAGCTCATGTGTAGATTCACCTGTGAGTACACTTAGAACATGTTTTACTGCTTGAACATGCAGTCGTGTTTTAAGTGCATTTAACATATGCTAAGTGTCACATGTGATATGGCCCTAACCCTGCGCTATTCATATTGTTATGATTACTGAGGATAGTGCCAGTTACACTTGGGAATGGGGAAGCCCTAAAAATATGATTTGCATAAAAAAGTGCTAAGACTTTCTGTATTCTGGGAAGGCAATAAGTACCTCTTGTCTTCAGTGATTAGATGTGCAAACCTGATTCACATGATAAACCCAGATTTTTCAAATAGAAATCCATAATGCTAAAAACATTCTGACCTGTTGCAGTCTTTCTGGGTTCTTTTTAACAAAAGAATTGCTCTTTTCATTTTTGTTGTAGTAAAGAAAAACAAATGAAAGCCAACAGCTGGCGTTTTCTGAGGGCTGCCTCGAGTCTTATCAAGGGTTGCCTGAAATCTAAAAAGGGTCAGAACTGCTGGTATAATGTAAAGGCGTAGGGGTGGTAGGTGGGTAAAAAAGCATGTCTGAGTCTCTTGTTGCCAAATGGGAAGCTGGGAATGGGCAGATTGCTCCATCTTAGAATAGACTGGACAGCTGACTGCCATACCAATTGACTAATGCTTCATTTTTGCAATCATACAGTGCACACATATAGCTGCAAGAGGCCCTTCAAAAATGCTTGCAAAGAGTAGGTGCCCCTAAATGTCGGTGATCCAAATCTGAAAATCAGAGATTTTGCTACCTCCTCTTACATGTAGATTAATAGAAAATAAATGTAAGGAACTGATCAGTAGTAATGTGATAACGTTTGTTAAAAAGAGCCTAAAAGCAAAAAAACAACAGCTGTAAAAGTATATGGTTGCAGACAACAAGATAAGCAAAACTAATTACATATAGACACTGTGGATATAACACAAATATCACTATAGGAACCATTTAGCAATCATGTAGGAGGAAGGGCACATATCCCATGCATGTATTGACTGCTCAAAAAAATGAACTCTTTGTTCTTTTTTGTGACTGTGATGTAGCTGAAATTCTAGGATTCCTGATACATAATTCCATATATTCATGAACATTGTCAAGTTTAAAATAGCTATATGAGAGGGGAAAGATATACTGACAGATGACAAATAAGAATAAGAAAGAGAGAAGCACAGATCACCAGGGCTTGGCTGTTTGGAGCATTTGTCTGCTGCTGTTTGGAGCATTGTTCTTTGAAGGAAGCCTGCTGGAAGTGGGAGAGTTTCCCCTACCCCTGCTACAATATGTGGAGGTACAATATAGGCAAGCCCCAAAAAACTCTGAATGGGTAGGCAGGGGCTACCAAAGAGACTGGTGAGGGGGAAGGGGAATGTGCCCATACTCCTCACATCAGAAGAGCCTCCCAGGAACTGAGCAAGAAGGAAGCAGGTAATCAGCCCATTCCTGTAATATGTATATACCATACCCTAAAAAGACCAATACTAAGTAGGCAGGTCAGTTAAATGCATATTCAGGAATCTTAGCTAATATCAGCTTTTAGGGATTGTAACTAAGGTTCCTGAATGACACTGATTAGCAAGTCAGACACAGTTCATGTGAATTTGAGGTTCAAAGGGATACATTACCATCTATCCATTTATCCCTGCATTTTTACTGTAATATGTAGGCAGCTGGTGAAAAGCAAGCATGGCTTTACTGCAACCATGAATGAGGGATGGATGAGATTCATTCAACTGAAGCAAAATGAGTCACTACTTGGACTAAAACACTGTCTATCAAGTAATCTTTAAATGAAAATTGATTGCTTGGTTCACAGTCCAAATTAAATCAATATAATTTGTTTTAATGCTTACAGGGCACATTAAAAAATGACCTATTCAATATCCTACACTACCTATTAGGCCTCTATATGGACTTCAGCTCCTAAGCACTATCCTATTCCACCCTCCTCAAATCCCTGAAAGTCCATTTTTGTAACTCGGCATCATCCTCCAACCTTTAAGACCAGTCACAAAATAACAGCAAGGCAGAAGAGGACCTACCCATCATTTCTATTAAAAATTTTTAAGGGACTTGAAGAGGGTGTAATAGGATCACATGTAGGTACATAAGTCAACCTAGATGCCTAATAGATAGAGTAGGACATGGCCCTTTAATTCTGCCAGACAGGATGCCAGGTTGGGTCAGTAGAAAGGGATACATTAGGGAACACTTAAGGAGTAAACATGTCTTTAAATCTGTGAAGAAGAAACCAGTGGAGTTTCTGACATGAACCCAACTGCAAGCCATGAAGATGATATTCCCAGCTGCACTTTATGTGGAAGGGAAATGTGGTTGTAAAAATACTTACTGTTTCATTTCTGTTCTTGTTCTAGGGTGATCCTGGTGTAGGAATACCAGGGCCACCAGGACTTCCAGGACCTCCAGGCCCATCTGCTGTACCCAGAAGACTTGTGAGTTTCAGAGGCTCTCCTTGTTTTACTGTGTGACAAACAACGGGATGAACTAAAAAAGAGGTGCAGTCTGGGGTAGTCTCCATGTGTATACACAGGTGCTCACCCCCACACACACATGTGTACCTGTGTGTATAAATGCGTGTGTGTATGTACACATGAAATCAGTTATACAAATCAAAGGGACCTCATGTCATCGTCTAGTCCAACCCTCTGGTCAAGGCAGAATCCTCCTTGCCTAAAAGATCCTAGTTAATATTTATCTAACCTGCAATTTCCAAGGATGATGATTCAACAACTTCTCTGGGCAACCTGTTCTACTGCATAACACCCCCAACCCATAGTGGAAAAGTTTTTCATAATACCCAACCTGGATTTTCCCTGAATCCTTTATTCCTAGTGTTGTCCCCTGAACCCTTCAGCTACGTGAAGACTTATCAAATCCCCCCTCAGTCTGCTCTTCTGCAGACTAAGCAATGCTAGTTCTTCAGACTTTCTTCATGAGTCACGTTTCCCAGGCCTCTAATCATTTATGTTGTTCTTTGCTAGACTCTTTCTAAGCTGTCCATAACTTGCTTGAACTGTGCAGCCCAAAACTGGACACAGTACTCCAGATGAGGCCACAGCAGAGCCAAATAGAATAAAAAGATAACTTCCCTTAATTTGCAAATGACACCCCTGTTAATACAACAAAAAATGCTGTTGTCCTTTTTTTGGAACAAGAGCCAACAGTATTTGGCTCATGTTTAACTTATGACCAATTTAATGGCCTGGTTCTTTTCTTCCATACTGCAGCCTAGGCAATCATTCCCCAGTTTGTAACTGTGCATGCATTTCTTTATCCCAAGTGTAGGACTTTGCACTTCATAGAATCATAGAAGTAGGGTCAGAAGGGACCTTGTAGATCTTCAAGTCCAGCCCCCTGCCTGGGCAGGAGGAAAACTGGGCTCAATTGACCCCAGTCAGGTAGGCATCAAGCCGCTTCTTAAAGACCCCCAGGGTAGAAGCCAGCACCACTTCCCTTGGAAGTTGGTTCCAGATCCTAGCCGCCCTAACTGTGAAGTAGTTCTTAGGGATGTCTAATCTAAACCTACTCTCCAACAACCTGTGGCCGTTATTCCTTGTTATCCCGGGGGGGCGCTAGGGGAAACAA